CTTTGCAACGATTTGTATCGTGAAAAGCGCTATACAAATAAACTCGAATTGAATTGAATTAAATTGCATTCCTTTCATAATTCATGCATAATATGTTGCAGAGGTTATAATTATGAAAATGGTGCATTTGCATTGTGTACTCTGATGCATAAATGCATTTAATACATTTATATACAGTACAGTCCCATTCAGAAGTTTTTGTTTGTTCTTTGAAAGAAGCTTTTTCATCAAAGATGCATAACATTGATCAAAAGTGACAGTAAAGTCGTTTACAAAATACATTTCAAATAAATGCTGTTCTTTTGAACTTTCTGGTCATCAAAGAATACTAAAAAAAGGAATGCATGACATTTAAAATATTGTAAAAAAAAACAAAAACAAATTATAATAGAAAAAATTCATTTTGAACTATAATAATGTTCCACCACATTATTTTTTTATTTTATTTTTTTTACTGCATTTTTGATCAAATAGATGCCGACTTGGTGAGAATAATTCAAAAACATTTAAAAATCTTACCAACCCAAAACAGTTTTGTATAAAGTACAGATATTTACATCATTGTTGAATGACACAATGTGAGGAGACTGTGTATATTTGGCCTGACTGTATTAAATCCAGTAAAAATGCTTGTTTTTCTGTATATACTGAATTTGTGGCTTATTCTTCAGTTCCATGTTGATTTGCTGTAGGATTCCAAGCTGACTGTTATCATTTTATAGTGTCAGATCTAAAGATCAGTGAGTTTAATGGTGAATAGTGACTGTGGTTTGTCTTTCCAGGATCTGAATGTGGATGAGTTCGAGGAGATGTTTAAGACGAAAGCACAGGGGCCTGCCATAGACGTCACCTCCAGCAAACAGAAGACCTCTCAGAAAGGACCAAATAAAATCTCGCTTCTGGACTCCAACAGAGCTAAAAACCTGGCCATCACGCTCAGAAAAGTGGGCAAGACATCAGAGGAGATCTGCAGAGCCATTCAAATGTAATTCACAGAGTATATACAGTGGAAATGATCACCAACGTCTCTTGATTTGCGCCCTAGAAACCGTTTAAAGGAGACATATTATGCCCCTTTTTACAATATGTAATATAAGTCTCCGGTGTCCCCAGAATGTGTCTGTGAAGTTTCAGCTCAAAATACTCCACAGATCATTTATTATATCATTTTGAAAATGCCTATTTTGAGTGGAAGCAGAAACACGCTATTTTTCGTGCCTGTCTCTTTAAATGCAAAGGAGCTGCTGCTCCCCGCCCCCTTTTCCAGAATAGAGCTGCGCCATTACAGCTCGGACCTGCTGAAAAACATCTGTTTTGGTTCGGATTATCATGTTTGAAATCATGCGCTGAAATCATACGTTTTAAAACATATGAGTTTAAATTTCTGATATACGGTTTTCTGAGCGCACACAGCCGAAGCACACGGACAGAAAGCGGCTGTCACAGCATGTGAGTACTAAACTAAGTTCTCATTCACACACAAGTTTACGTTAAAAACTCACATGCGTTACAAAAACAGTCAGTTATGTCTGTGAAGGTAAACAGCTGGGAAATAAATCGCTTGTTTATTTTAGATCTGTGTGGCAGCAGCAATATACATTAAATAAATCAATAAATCCACTGCTCTCTTGTCTCCTCTGAAAATCGCATGTTTATTTTAGATCTGTGTGGCAGCAGCAATATAGCCTACATTAAATAAATCAATACATCCACTGCTCTCGTCTCCTCTGAGGCTGGCATTCTAAATAATGTTCTGTGCTCGTCTGTGCAGCCAAAGGCAGAACAGTTAGCATGTTTTGCTCAAACTTTCGTCATGGCATTAGAACTGGTACACTGTTGTCGCTTGCGAAAACACAATAACAGCGCCGTGGGTGTAAACTTACAGATTAAAGTTCACCCAATCATTTCTCACCCTCAAGTCATCCTAGGTGTATATGACTTTCTTCTTTCAGATGAATCCAGTCGGAGTTATATTAAAAATGGACTTTGATCTTTCAAGCGGTTTCATGGCACTCAGCGGGTGTTGCATGCATCAGTCCAAAAGAAGTTAAATAAAAAGCGCCCATCCATAAAAAAAGTGTCTCAGATGGCTCCGAGGGGTGAACAAAGGTCTCCTGTAGCGAATTGATGCGTTTTTGTAAGAAAAATATCCATATTCAAACCGTAATAATCACTTTAATGTAGCTTGCTCCAACAGTCCTACACGGAAGCAGCTCTGGGCTGATGACGTATCAGTGCAGCATTGCGCATGCTCCGGTGAGTCTCGTGAAAACCAACGTTTGTTAACAGGAGCAAAGGAAGCAAAGTTTCCTTACTTTAGCAAAGGAAAACCAGTCTCCTCTTGGCTTATATCGAAATCCTCAGACAATCTTCTTTACAAATCCTCGTTTTGTACTTCTAATAAGTGACCGTTGTTTTGTTTTGATATCTCCCCTGCGCTTCCGCGTTTGTCACTTCTGAGCGGCGCATGCGCAAAGCTGACCTCATACGTCATCAGCCCGGAGC